TGCTTTATCAGATTTGGCAGTCCTTAAGTATCCTCCTATCTTCGATGATCCGGTTGATTCGACACAGTAGGAAGTGTTCGAGAAGCTTTCCAAAGGGCGATAACAGGGACAAAAGTCTATAGGTCCCCCTTCAGAGTTGCATCTGTTCCGGGCTTAGGAATTGGCACCACTATTGCCTTCTTCCAGGCTATTAGGAAATAGCCGATGGTGATGCATTGGTTAAATACAATATGGTCAGGAAAAGGTTGACGGCTTCACAAACCTTCTTTACAGCAATATGAGGTATCTAATCGATGCCACAAGACTTCTACGCTACCCTTCTTGCTATAGTTGATCGCACCATGTCTGGATCAATAAATGCTCTTGAATTCGTTTCGGAATTCAATAGAGGTTACATGATTTCCAATTTCTTTCGCTGCTGTATCGACCAGGTTGAGGAAGAACACTTCTACGATACCTCCTTGTAAAACAGTGCTGTGCCTTACGAAGTCGCCTGTTTTCTATTGACGGCTTGATTTAGTTCGGCTATCCGCCGCTAGGTGTAGTCGCACGTAGTTTGCTTAGAGTGATATAAGTAACTACCACTAGGAGACAATTTCCTTAAATTAAATGTCTTAATCAAAAATCAGAGGTTACTTCCTTGGTGTGTTTCGGGGTCTAAGGTTCAGAAATAACATGAAGCTGCTATCGAAGGTGCTTTGAACGCTGCTTATGCTAATTTAAAGGCAAACTATTTGCAAGGCCTACAAAACTGGTTTCACTATGAGTTTCTGATTTGGATTCTTTTCGAATTGAAAATTTTCCAAAAGGTGAAATATTTATTAGTTCACCTTTTCAAAATTCTTGCTGACCAGTGTATTAATAATTTTAAATATAGCGGTGAAAGTCTTTTAAATATATATATTTAATTTTTTTTGTTTCTTCTGAAACAATTAAAGCTTTTTTTCACTTTCTGGGCCGCATTAATGTCAGCCCCATTCAGAGAGGCATTCCAATTATTTCATGAGGGCATTGCATGGAGGCGACAACGGATGTGGGTTTAGTGTGTCGGTCATAGTATAAACAAAATTAATTGCCGTTATGGTAATTTTTAAGAAAAAAGTTGATACACACCGGTCAAATAAAACCCCTATGGAAAGAGAAAATTTTGAAAATCAAAGGTCTCTCATAATTGGGGAATTTTTATTAGTACTCAAAATGCACTGTTTGTCTTTTTCGATCAATTTTTATACCCTCCACCAAGCATAGAGGAAATGGAAATTAAGTAGGTTGATAAAATTTTACTAAAATGTATACTATGCCTGCAGGACTTTTGGTATTGAAAATGGGCCATGTAGGTCTACGTTTTGGTGTAGCCTCCAATATTCGGTATTTTGATGATTTTAGCGACATTATTCACCGGAATTGTTTTAAATTTGGTACTTGAAGTTCGTAATGGATACTACAGCCTATGACAGAAAATTGTCTGTGCAGGTCCACGTCTTCGTATAGCCCCCATATAACGAATACAGTCTCTTCCTCAACTTTCAGACAAGTAATATAGCATTCGTAATTTTCTACACTTTTATCAATATTGCTGGTCCATCTTTGCAAAATATTCGGAATTGTAGCTATTGTTTCGGCTGGTGTTCTTATCGTACCTCCACTGAATTTGAAGGGGTCACTCAATCTGATATCCTCTAGTGCGTTATTGTTGTTCATGCTTCACTGGATCCTCAAAGCCGTTACCTCAGATCGTTGTGTAGTAACGTTTGTGGTCCCATGGTTGACTATATATGCAGGAGGGATTTGATGAAGATTCCTTATGAGATTCGATGGTCAGAGCCAGATCCGTACAACTTAGGACAAAGTCAACTGGATCTACACCACGAACCGTATGGTGATGAATCTGAGAGCGTTCTTTCAGACTTGCCAAGTTTTAATAGGCTAAGGACAGTTGCAGCATTTGCCCAGATTAGACTCCACTTAATAGGATCCTACAGTGGTCAGGTCACAGGGCAATATGTTACGGTCAGATGTTCCAGTCTGCCATAAGTAAGATCTTACTGGTCTCGATCTTAATGCCCATAAGGACGAAAGATGAAAACACTGCACAGGGATCAGACGCAGAGCAGCAAGCCGTCCGCTATAGGTTATACGCTGCCGGATTTATTTGCAGGCTAGATGCTTGCCAACTGGGGTCCGCGGGGTTGTTAAGCTCTTTTTCTCTAATTTTCTGCATAGCGCTTGCCCTTGAAAAACGGAATTGATATCGCGATGTACCTTCGGAGTCATTGCGATTTAGTTTCGAAGTAGCTCTCCTTTACCCAAGACATCATTACCCTCTCCAATTCTTTTTCAAGCACTGGATGAACTTTTCCAAGCACTGCTTCGATTCGATGTAGGACAACTTCGTACCCTGGCGATTTAAGTAACACTTCAAGTACCCTTGGCTCATGCAGCAGCCAAATATTGAGTCGACATATTCAGACATAATTGTCCAGATGACTTTAAATATCCGTCCAGTCGTACCCAGCGACTTTCTATTTCTAATCTGGGAGATACTGGCCGAAACTTTTTATAAATCCATCAGCAGGCATAGCAAATATCTGAGTCTCTGAACTAAGAAAGAATATTCCCATCAAATGTCCTACGCTCTCCACGTTATGTTTCGGAATAGCACTCCTTAAGCCAAGACATCATTACCCTCTTCAGTACTTTGTCAAGCACTGCTTCGATACGAGCGAGTCCACAGCTTTTGGACTTTTCCACGTAGGAGAGAAGCACTCTTGGCTTTTGCAGCGGCTAAATGCTGCCTCGATATATTCAGTCGTAACTTTCAAAAAAGTTTTATACATCCGTCTAATCATACCGTCAACACCCGGCGACTTTCTGTTTCAAATCCGACAGAAACTGTCCGAAATTTCTGATTAAGCCATCAACAAGCGAAGGAAATGACTACGTCTCTAAACTAGGAAAGAATGTTGCCAACAACTGCCCTACGCTCTCCTCCCAAACCGATGTCATTGTCGTTGAACTGGTGCAATGCAATGTCTGCTAATCGCCTTCATAGATATTCATAATTTTGAACCTTTGTGGGTGAGGTACCAGAAGGAATTGGCCGATCTCTACCATCTCTTCATAACAGATCTTGTATTATACAAAAATGTTGAGATGTGTGAGATATGAAGAGAACCGGATGCTTATTTCGGATTTTATAATCGTTTTGATTTTTCAAAATGTTGACCCTTTGTGTGGGAGGTACCAGAATAAATGGTCCGATCTCTACCATCTTTACAATAGATCTTGTGTTGATGGCAATATTGAGATGTGGAAAGTCTGAATGGAATCGGATGTTAATTTCCCGTTTTATGAGCTTCGTGGATATTAACAATTTTGACCCTTTGTTTGTTGGGGAGGTACTAGAAGAAGTGGACCGATATATTCCATCTTCATAGCAGACCTTGGATTAACAAAAATATTGTGATGTGTGTAGTTTGAAGACAATCGGATCCTTACACCACATTTTATAAGAGTTATAATAATTTAAAATGTTGACCCTTTGTGGGGGAGGTACTTGATGGAGTGGAACGATATTGTCTATTTTCGCACCTAACCTCGCACTGATGCAAATATTAGGATTTGCAAAATTGGAGAAAAATCGGATTATCGTTTCTCTTTCTGTGCAGAAAAATTTTTTTTTTAATTTCGACATTTTGTTGGGGGAGGGGGGGTGTACCAGAAGAAGTGGGCCGATATATTTCACTTTAACGCCAGACTTTGGGTTAATAAAAATATTGATATGTGTGAGACCCTTATATCACATTCCAAATGTTGACCCTCTGTGGGGGAGGTACCAGAAGGAGTGAACCGACATTTTCCATTTTCGCTCCTGACCTAGTATTTATGCAAATATTAATACGCGCAAAGTTTGAACAAAATCGGATTATGATTTCTCTTTCCGTGCAGAAAATATTTTTCTTTGAAAATGTCGACCTTTTGTGGGGGAAGTACCAGAAGGAGTGGACCGATATATTCCATTTTCTAGCCCATGATCTAGCCCATAATGCAAATAAGAGGATTTGCAAAGTTGGAGTAAAATCGGATCATCCTTTCTCTTTATGTGCAATATAATATTTTCGATATTTTGTGGGGGAGGTACCAGAAGTAGTGGACCGATATTGACCATCTCGGACTTTGATCTCAGTTTGACAATAATATTACGATGTACCAAGTTTGGACCAAGTCGAATACTTCCTTCGAGAGTTATCGTGCGCACCAGCCAGCCTGACAGACTGACCGACAGACGGATGGATGGATGGATATCGCTAGACCGACTCCAAATGCCCTGAAGCGGATTTGGTCCAAAGAGACCTAGTGTCTACCACCGTTATTTCGATGAGGCACGTTTTGGCCGTATCAAATAATATAAACTCTCTCATAGACATATGGCTAGGGCTCTGAGGGTATAAAAATGGAAGATAAAACGTAAGGGCTCCAAGTTTTTATTCATCCTTTTTTTCGGAGCATAATTAGGAGTATATATGTAATTTTAGGATAGCTGTAGCCTCATTTAAATATTATATAGATAAAATTAAAAAAAAGTAAGTCTTATGCTAAGTATGGATATAAGGATCGAATGTCAGCCGTACTGTATTGAAATATTGTTTAAGGAATTGATGAAATTTTAATTGAATTGAATGCGAATTATTAAATCAAAATTAGTTGGAATATTACACCTGTGGTGGTAATCCTTGAAAAAGTTTCGGATTGAATCCAGGAAAGATTTGTCATATTTTATTAAGAAATTCATAAAGATATAATACCTTAGAACTTCTAGAAAAATATATTTCGTTTCGGTCTTCAATGCCGACCATAAAGTACATTTGTCTTTTTGAAAATTTCCTAAATCTTATTTTTCCCTCATGATTAACTTAATATATGTGTGTATATATTTTTTTTTTATACAAAGTGTCGAGATATTTCGTCCCTCAATTGAAACAACACATCATCGGCATCATCATCATCATTATTATTATCGCCACAGATAATGTATACTAACTAGCCGACCGCAAAATGCAGCGAGGAGAACAAAAAATGTTTCTAATTTTTCAAAATCAGTCTAAATCAAAATGAATCCATTGACAGACGAAGAATGGGAAGCGTACAAGGTATTTTGCGTAAAATGCGAGTGGAAATGGAATTCAAAGTGTTTTGTATCTCTCCCGGTTTAGCTTCAGTTTAAAAAATTCTATGTGGACTCAGCGGAGGATGCAATGCGCCGCCAATTGGTTGCGGAACGTAAGGCCTTTATTGATGAGCACAATCGTCGATATGAAGCTGGTCTCGAAACATTCACCTATGGTCTGAATAGTTATACGGATGTGACGGAGGAAGAAAAACGCCGAAGATGGTATAGGCCCATGGTGGAGTGAGTGGAATTTTGGAAGTTATTTTAATAGAAAAAGTGATGAAAGACATTCAAAACTAAAACAAACTAAAAGAAAATTGTGATAAATTATTTTAAGAAAATTGGTAATTATATCCTAGAATATTAAATAATAAAATAATAATAAAAATAAATATATTATTTAAGGAATATATTTTCTGAAATTCTGTGTTTTTTTTTGTGAAATAGTTTTAATTTTTCAGCGCCAAAAAATACATTTACATCCGAAATTTGCTATTTTGATAATTTTTCGTAACCCTAAAATATGGGTATTAAATAACACACCTGTGACTGACAAGTGCATCCGGCAGTACCCCTTCTACAAATTTTCAATTTTTTACAGCCTCAGCCATACGGCTAGAGAGAATATCTATCATTTTATACGAAATAAAATTTTGATCAAAATAACGGTTTTAGACCCTAAATCTCTTTGGACTACGTACGTTTTAGGACATTTGGAGTCGATCTAGCGATTTCCCTCCGTCGGTCTGTTTGGCACAATAACTCTCGAAGGGAGTATTCGGTCCAAACTTGGTACATCGTAATATTATTATCAAACTTAGATCGAGTTTGGAGATGGGCAATAACGGTCCACACCTTCTAATACCTCCCGCTCAAAAGGTCGAAATTTTCAAAGAAAATAATTTATTGCACAGAAAGAGAAAGTATAATCCGATTTTGTTCCAACTTTGCAAATCCTAATCTTTTCATTAGCTGCGAAAATGACAAATATCGGTCCTCTCCATTAAGTACCTTCCCCACAAAAGGTCAAAATTTTGAATAATTATAACTCTTATAAAATGTGATGTATGTGTCTGATTGCCTTCAAATTACACACATCACAATGTTTTTATTAGCCTGAGGTCTGGTGTGAAGATGGCATATATCGGACCACTACATCTGGTACCTCCCCCACAAAGGGTCGAAGTTTAGAATAACAAAAACGATCTAAAAATTCGAAATAAACCTCCGGTTCTATTCAAATTATATACATCACAACCTCTTCCACAAAGGGTCAAAATTTTGAATATCCACGAAGCTCATAAAACACGAAATTAACATCCGATTCTACTCAGACTTGGCAGATTTAAGATAGATAAGATCTGTTGTAAAGACGGTAGAGGTCGGCCCATTCCTTCTGGTACCTGCCCCACAAAGGATCGTTAAGAATAACAAAAAACGATCATAAAATCCGAAATAAACATCCGATTCTCTTCATATTTCACACATCGCAATATTTTTATTAACCCAAGATCTGCTGTGAAGGTGGAATATATCGTCCCACTCCTTCTGGTACCTCCCCCACAAAGGGTCAATATTTTGAATATCCATGAGCCTCATAAAACGCGAAATTAACATCCGATTCCATTCAGACTTGGCACATCTCAATATTTCCATCAACACAAGATCTGTTATAAAGATGGTAGAGATCGGACCATTCCTTCAGGTACCTCCTCCACAAAGGATCGTTTAGAATAATAAAAAACGATCATAAAATCCGAAATATGTATCCGATTCTCTTCATATTTTACACATCGCAATATTTTAACCCAAGGTTTGGTGTAAAGATGGGTAATATCGGTACACTCCTTCTGGTACCTCCCCCACAAAGGGTCAAAATTTTGAATGTCCCCGAAGCTCCTAAAGTGCAAAATTAACATCCGTTTCCATTTAAACTTGGCAAATCTCAATATTTCTATCACCACAAGATCGGACCATTTCTTCTGGTACCTTTCCCACAAAAGGGTCAACATTTTGAATAACCAAAACTATCATAATATCCGAAATGAGCATCCGGTTCTCTACGAATTACACACATGCATTATTTTTACTAACACAAGATCTGATGTGAAAATGGAAACGGTGTACTCCTTCACAGTTTTGAAAAAAAAAGAAGTAAAAAAGCTGTAAGTTAGGCCAGGTCGAAATTTGAATCCCTCCACCATTTGAAACGAATTTGGCAATTACAAAAAAAAAAAAAATAAATAAATAAATAAATAAAAAATAAAATCCGTTAACAATTCTGTTTAAATCTTAAAAATACCTAATGTAGCTGAGCACTCCTTCTAGTACTACCCTCACAAAGGTTTCACAATTTTGAAAAAAAAGCTGGAAGTTAGGTCCGGTCGAAATTTGAATACCCTCTATCATTTGGAACGAATTTGGCAATTAAAAAAATAATAAAAAAAAATAAAATGCTTTAACAATTCTGTTGAAATCTTAAAAACACCCAAAGTAGCTGTTATATTAGGGTCTATACAACGACGTGAACCTGCATCGGCAACTTTTTTCATAAGCCATTACAAAATTCAAATGCGAAATTTAAACGAAAAATCAGTGAATAATGTAGCTAAAATCATCAAAATATCGAATATAGGGAGGTACATTATATGGGGGCTATACGAACCCCTGGATAGGCAATTTTCTGTTATTGAAATTGAATTCCATTAGGAATTGAAAATTGGAAATTTCAAACAATTTCGGTAAATATTGTTACTAAAATCGTCAAAATTCTGAATATAGGCAGGTGCTGATATCTGAGGCCTATACGAATTTTCTGTCATATACTGTAGTTCGCATTACGAACTATAAATACGAAATTTGAAACAGCTCCGGTGAATAATGTCACTAAAATCATCAAAATATCGAATATTGGGAGGTACCGTTCTATGGAGGCTATACGAAGACGTGGGCCTGCATACGCAATTTTTTTCAAAGGCTTTAGTATTTATTACAGATTCTAAATACAAAATTTGAAACAACTCCGGTGAATAATGTCCCTAAATTCGTCAAAATATCAAAAAATGGGGAGGGGGGGGGGGTGCCGTTGTATGTGGGCTTCACTATATCGTGGACCTATATAGACAAGTTTTTTTTTAAGGGGGTAAGGTGCTTAGAAATAACTTCTTTTGTGGATTTTCAATCATCAAAACACCGAATATTGAGGGGAACCGTTATATGGGGGCTATACGACATCATGGACCGATATCAATTTGTCAATTTGTTAATATAGTTCGGAATAATGTGTCACATGGTATTATAGAATTTTCTCTCAAATATTTAAACTTTCCATAGGAATTTCATAATATATACCTTTCATTACGGAATTGTATCATGATTAGGTTGAAAAGAGGGGCGAAGCAATACGCCACATTCCCTGTTGGGCATACACTTAAGTCAGTATAGGCCTGTTGTGCGCTCTAGCGAATTGTATCATACCTAATTTAAAAAAATATGTTTTGATATCCTCCACTCATTCTCATGCCCAAGTCAAAACATCAATTAAATTCTACATATAAAATATTCTGAAAGCATTTCCAACAGAAAAAATATTTCAATTTCATTTCAAAAATCTAGTAGCAGCTTCCGAAGCTAATGAATGGAAAGTTGAAAAAAAAAATCAAAACAATAACAACACGTGCTGGGATCTCTAGAGCTTTAAGCTCATACGAACACGTTTGATTTGAGAATTCATTCGAATTTTACGCTATAACAAATAAGTAAAAGCTTTAGTCGATCCGGCTGACTTATCTGCCTAAAGGTATTATATAGGCTGGGCCCATATTAGATCCGATTTTTTCTTCACCCCTCCTTTAAGAATTACTTAAGTATTTCATTAAAGTTTCGTCGCCCCAGTTTTTAAATTAACACCAAATTACTCATTTGGAAAAGACGCCCAATTCGAGACAACTGGTCATATTCACATATAAAATAATAACTGCAGGACATAATATTTCAATTGTTCATTTGCTTGGGATTCTGAATCCAATGCATCAAAGCCGCAAAGCAATAAAATAGAAAAACAGAAAATACTCACAAAACAACACAATAGCACTTTGTTAGAAATCTTTCCAAATTCTTCACCTCTTCCCAGCCCCCCAAAAATGGGTAGCAATTTAAATAAGACGAGATGAATGGGATTACAACAATTAGATAAGCAAAAGAATCGTTTTTGGCACATGCAAAGGAAATCCTTTTCTTGATCCTTTCTTTTTTCTGAAAAATAAAACCCCAACAGGAGAAGAAAAAAAGAAATAAAAAAACAACCAAGAAAGTGTTAAGACGATAAAGCAAAAATTCAGATTAAAGGCAGTGTGTTTTTTTTTTGGTATTGTCTTGTGATTTTATTTTTTTTATTTTCTTGGGAAACATAAGTTTTTTAACCAACGGCTGTCTACTTGGTTTATTTTTGCATGTTCTGGTCCCAACTTCGTTTTCTTTGCCTGGAGACTAAAATGTTTTGTCATAAACTATGAAAGACATGCCACAAATCCACAAATGGTTGTTTAAGACGGGAATACACTCGAAGAAAGTTGCCAGTCAATTGCATAGAAGGAAGAGATCCTTTATCTGCAAGACAATTTTTAAAGATTTTTTTTAAACATTTTTTCAAGACAATTTATAAACGTGGATTTTTTAAAAATATTTTATCAAGACAATTGATGAAAGTGGATTTTTTTAAAAATATTTTTTCAAGACAATTGATAAACGTGGAGTTTTTAAAAATATTTTTTCAAGACAATTGATAAACGTGGATTTTTTAAAAATATATTTTAAAGACAATCGATAAACGTAGATTTTTTAAAAATATTTTTTAAGACAACTGATAAACTGGATTTTTTAAAAATATTTTTTAAAGACAATTGATAAACGTGGATTTTTTAAAAATATTTTTTCAAGACAATTTATAAACGTGGATTTAAAAAAAAATATTTTTTCAAGACAATTGATAAACGTGGATTTTTTAAAAATATTTTTTCAAGACAATTGATAAACGTGGATTTTTTAAAAATATTTTCTCAAGACAATTGATAAACGTGGATTTTTTAAAAATATTTTTTTCAAGACAATTGATAAACGTGGATTTTTTAAAAATATTTTTTTCAAGACAATTGATAAACGTGGATTTTTTAAAAATATTTTTTTCAAGACAATTGATAAACGTGGATTTTTTAAAAATATTTTTTTCAAGACAATTGATAAACGTGGATTTTTTAAAAATATTTTTTTCAAGACAATTGATAAACGTGGATTTTTAAAAATATTTTTTCAAGATAATTGATAAACGTGGATTTTTTAAAAATATTTTTTCAAGACAATTGATAAACATGGATTTTTTAAAAATATTTTTTCAAGACAATTGATAAACGTGGATTTTTTAAAA